GGTTGGACACGGGGGCTTGGAGCCCCCTGCTCTAGTGGAAGGTGCCCCTGCCTGTGGCAGGGGTTGGAGCTGGAGGAGCTTTAAGGTCCCTTCCAACACAAACCAGGCTGGGATTCTGTGATTCTTTTGCCTATATTCTTAGGAAACTCTGTGAAACGGTTCTGATATTAAGCCCATCTCACTATATGGTGAGACTTACTATCAGAATCTTGTTTTCAGGCTTTCCTTCTTGCCCCCCGTGCTAACACAAGCCGTGCTCTGCTTGAGCATCGTGGCCCGGGGAGGAGCCGCTGCAGCCAAGCCTTCTGCAGACCCCTGCTGGCCGTTGAGGCCGGGTGCTCTTTTTGTAGCACCAGAACATGCACGGGCTTTTAACACAGTGTCCTATAGTGGGTGATAGTGTTTTAAATGAACAGATAAACCTCAATGCAACATTGGTTTCCAAAACTTTGTTTAGAGCAAGTGATTGTTCATGTCACTAAAAGATTTACTATCACTTTAAAAACATGTGTATTCGAGGGAAACTATTCCTGGAAGTACCTGCACATCAAACCTGCATTAATATTTACGTGGTGTAGTGATTTACTAACTGAATTCAAAATAAATATAACAAGATTTAACTAACAATCTTTCCATTTACTGTGGACAAATTGACTTTTGGGGGAGCACATCATTAGCTTTAGGAACCTGTTACTAATGAATTGAGTCTGTAAAGTACTGCTTTTTGGTTTGTGGTTTGATTTAAGCATGCTAAGCTAAGCCTGTGTTTTTTGTTTTTTAGATTTGACACAGTTGAAGGCATGTAAGTGGTCATTTAAATTCTTCCAAAAAACCTTAAAGAGCAGATTTCTAAACACAACAAAGGTTTCACTGTTGAATGTTTCAAATTCCAAACACTTTCCTGTTATCCCACTCTTGCAATTGGGGGGGGGGGTGTCTGTCCCCCTCCGTGTCCCCCCCACCCGATAGCATTTTTTCTTGTTCTAAAGCTGTGCTAATGTAAACTTATAAATACTTTTAGTGACAAATCTCTCTGTAGAAACCCATCCTTAGAAGCTTTTTGGCTGAGCTTCATGACAAATTTGGTCTAATTTCAACAGTAAGTAGAAGCACATAAAGGATGAATCCCCCCAGAGCTCCGTCAGCTTTATATAGATGCTTATATAGAATTAGTGGGATTTTCCTCCTCACCTGGAAGTGTACAACTCTTTGTTGTATTGGGGAGTTAATTGTTTTAATCTTCTCTGACCGTGGTTTTCTCTTACTGGTGGCTTGCAGAGCTTCCACTATGCACATCTCTGGAGTAACATTTAATTGCTGCAGGTTAACTCAGAGGGCTGTTTTAACATGCATCCTGTTAAATCAGGTAGAAGGTTTACACCTTTGTGTTTCGTTTCCTTCAGCTCTTTTTTTTGTTCAAGTCCCTTGTGTAATTTTATCCTGAAATACAGCATGATGTGCTTTTACCCACGTCACATACGTAAGACCTAACAACACCCAGTTGTAACCTGTGCTGTAAAGCTCTCAGCTGTAAATGCTCGCTTGTTACTCAGGTTTTCTGTGCAGACTGATTCTTGCCACTTTCTCAACTACAGCTCGTAAGGCTGAGAAAGTTGGAGTTGTTCAGCCTGAAGAAGAGGAGACTCCAGGGAGACCATCTTGTGGCCTTCAAGTACTTTAAAGGGGTCTATAAGAAAGATGGGGAGAGACTTTTTTGCAGGGCCTGTTGCACCAGGGTGATGGTTTCAAACTAAAAGATGGAAGATTCAGGCTGATTGTGAGGAAGAACTTTTTTACAATGAGGGTTGTGAAACTCTGGCCTAGGCTGCCTGGAGAGGTGGTGGATGCCCCATCCCTGGGGACACCCAAGGCCAGGCTGGATGTGGTCCTGGGCAACCTCATCTAGTTGACTGTGTCCCTCCTCATTGCAGGGGTGTTGGACAGGATGACCTTTGACGGTCCCTTCCAACCCAAACTGTTCTGTGATTCTATGACATCCCTGTTAGATTATTAGGTTGCCAGTAGAAGGACGTTCCTGCTCCCCTTTCAAGTCTGTAGGAACTGCAGCAACGATTCCTCAGTATTCAGCTCTACTTCCTAGCTTAATTTTTAAAGAGCAGATGTACATTTGAGAACTTTACACTTCTGAAAGGTAACAAGAAGAAGATAGCCTTGTTTTGGCAGCTGGTTAGCTCCCACAGGCTGCTGCTCATCACTTCTTTCATTTGCTTCTTATTTTCATGTATTATTCTATTTCACCTGTGCTTAACTATTTGTTTTGGTTCCTTCTTGCCCCCCACCAGTTGTCACCTTAAAAGAACTGGTATTGGAGGAACAAGTTCATATGGCCTTGAGTTTATATGGTGTTGGTTACTTTTACTATATGGATAGTTATTGAAAATGGGCAAGCAGGAAGGATAAAATGCGACATAAACAGTCAACCAGATGCTGACCGTGTTTGATATACAAACTGCTTTCCTTGAAGGATGAGTGGCAAACTCTGAATCAAAGTAGATGTTGTTTCATTTTTGTTTGGTTGGCTTTTTTTAAAGACATTAAAACAAAAATACTGGTTTTGGATAGGGTTTAGGCTTTAGATTTTCTGGTCTGAGTGACTTTTGCATACATGCCAGTAGATATCCTCTGCTGGTTGATTGTAACACTTCCAAACACGTTCAGTTCTTCTTCTATTTCATTTCAAGCCTCACATATTCAAAACTGCCACAAGAAGCTTTGATCTGTGTTGAAGAGCAGAAAGTTCTTACAAGACTTGGTGTAGCAACCATCGTTAGATTAAAATCATCTTATTCTACTGGACATTCAATACGAAACTTGCTATTTAGAACCTGTAGCACCATCATGTGGATTAGAAGGCTTATACAGCCTTAAGAATTCAGTAGGATGCAGGAGAGCAATTACTGTAATGTATATAGAGAAAACAAGAATAATGAACTTTGGTTTTATAGGTTAAGTTTCTTAATAGCTTTCTAGAGGGAAATCTTCCAACTAACACTCTCATAAATTACTGATGTTCACTTGCCCAAACCTATTTTTGCAAAGTTGCTGTCACTTCAGAAGTATGACCACAGTGTTCAACACAGTTGTATTGTGTAACTTACTCTTGGGCTCACTTGGAACAGTGAAGATTTAGAGAGGAAATGGATCTTTCGTCTGCAGTGCTCTTAAAATTTTGATTATGTCTGTTAGTTTTTGTATATATTTGAACTGGAAAGAAAAAGATGCCTTAAGATCACTTGGAACCTGTTAATTTTGGGGGGTTGTAACTTTGATTTCCTCTTTTCCTATGACCAGGTTCTACTAAAGACAAAGTCAAGAGTTAATGTTAGCCTAAACATAATGTAAAAGGGTTGTGGGGGAGGAAAAGATACTGTATGAAATGTCTTTTTGAGGGAAGCTTAACTGAACAGTTAATGCAATAGTGCAAGCTGAATTGAAGCTAGCAGTGCATACAGTGGTGTTAAGTACCTTAATGCTTCAGCATCTTCATCTTGGTTGTTACAGATGCCCTAATGTAACAGACACAACAAAAGGTTCTTCTCATCTAACTTGTTCTCCTGGATTTATGGCAGGAGCCCGTTGGCACAGATGGAGGAGGAAAGGAGGGAGCATGTAGCCAAGATGAAGAAAATGGAGATGGAGATGGAGCAAGTGTTTGAGATGAAAGTCAAAGAAAAAGTTCAGAAACTGAAGGACTCTGAGGCCGAGGTAATCAAAGCATCCTAAACCCCAATATGCCAGAGGCTGAACAAGGGTAGGGGTGGCTCTCTCTGCCAACACCTTGCAACATAACATCTATCTAGGAATTGCTTCCACAGTTAGATTCTGGGTTTAAAGGCAGCTCAGTCATTCTTTCTCAGCTTGCTGTCATTGCTGAAATGGTATAAACCCAAACTTCAAACGTAATTTTCATGTTCACATGCATTCTCATTTTATTTTCACGCTCACAATATGCTAAAATACTCCTTAGTTTTCTTACCCTCTTTTTTGGGGAATATTTTATGCCTGTTTTCTTTCATGTGCTTTAAACATTTTTTAAAATGTTCTTGGGAGTTTCATGGTTTACATAAGCCAATGTAGTTTGCTTTGCACGTTAAAAAAGCATTTCAGGGATTTGAGAAGATGTCGATAAGAAACCATACACATGAGAATTTCTAGGCTAAGGAGGAGGGATATGTTATTGTCAGTGTTTTGGTGTCATTTATACATTTACATTTATATCAAGCTATTAAAGTATTTCCTGGTTTAATTCCTGTCATCTCCAGGGGAATTCCTCCCAGTGAAACTGGTTTTTATGTGCTTCAAGCAGCTCTGGAAGTGACCTTTTAAAGACACTAGAAAATTACAATTCAGTAGAAAATGGATTCTAGGTTTTGGGAGGGCAGCTTCTCATAAGAAGCCTAAGAGAGAAGTTCCTGAAGGAAGTTTGGCTCCAAATTTGAGGGAAAGTGAGGAAACTTGGAGAGGTAGTCGAAACACTTGGCAGCCTAAACACTGTGAGGAGCCAAGGCTCAGTGGATCAGAGGCAAAAAATCAACGTAGATGATTTAGTTGGGTTTGTTTTTCTTCTGGAGAAGAGAACAGATAAGGACACTCCTGAGCAACTTGAGGATTTTAAATCTTGGTGCTTTATCTGGATCACAGGGTTGAATTAGTCACTTGATATAACCTTCCTCAATTTCTGTCTTGAACCTTTACGAACCCATTTATACTTCTGACCTCCACACTCCTTGTTGCATGAAAACCAAACATGCATAAATCTGTCTTCCTGGTTTTTGTGTTACTGCCTCGTCTGTAAAAGGAGCTATGTTTGGAAGGGTTTGTGTAAGACGGGCTTCCAAGAGAGTAAGGAAAGAGGGAGTTTAATTCAAGAACATGTTGAGACCACACAAAAGGTATCACTTCTCATGACAGAGGATCCGTTCTCACATACACCACACCTGGCTGTCAGTCTGTCTCATCAGCTTGCAGGAGAGACTTTACTCTTCTGTCAGTGCAGAGAGTTCACTTCAATAATACTAATAATAGTTCATGTAATTAATGAATAAATTAACCCACTTAATAATAATGTTTTCCCAAATAGCTCCTTAACACTATAGGATGAACTCAATGTCTGGGTTGTTTTTACCCCAGACAGAGTCAGAGGTGCTGCTACTTCATGCATTACTGATACTCAGATGCTCTGCAACTTGCTTCTTAACACTGCCTCAAATACCAAAGTATTCTTGAATGTCCTTTTGTTTGCTACATGTAGCTGCTTCACACCTCCTGTTTGTAACTTAGGCAGCATTTGGGGTGTTTTCTATTAACTGTAAAGAGAGGCTATGGGATTAACACCCTTTTTGTTTCTGCTGTTGGCGGTATCTATAACCTTAGAGCTTTTGGTCTAAGAGTTACTTCCTCTGAAGAGAAAAGACAGTACTGTGTTTTCTTGCATTAGTATAGCTGTTGACATTTATTACTCCAGCTGCAAAAGGTGCTGTGTTTTCTGCACTTCCTGACTCTGTTCCTAACTTGCTGTACAGCTGCAGCGACGCCATGAGCAAATGAAAAAGAATTTGGAGGCACAACACAAAGAGTTAGAGGAAAAGCGTCGCCAGTTTGAGGACGAGAAAGCCAATTGGGAAGCTCAGCAACGTATTTTGGAACAACAGAATTCTTCCAGGTAACTCTTCCATTCTATGACATTGGAGTCTTGTCCTGCAGTTGACAGTAAATGTTCAGGCTGAAAGGCAGCTTCTTTGGCAATCCTGGTCCAAGGTGGTTGACTGCTATGAAGTGTCACTAGAGAGCCAAGAAAAATCTTGAGCTGCTTTTAGGTACATATATCAGAACTGTTGGGATAATGATTAGCTTTGCAGATGTCAATCTGCAAAAACACTGCATCCATACAGAGCTAGATCTCTCTAAAAAATGATGTTTGCATTTGAAAGCTAGATTGAATCAGACTTCTGAGGGATAAAGGGCTAAAGGCTTGAGAATGAAAGCGTTTAATTCTTGGCAGGGGAAATCTAGAGAGAAATGCATTGCTTCACTGCACGTTACATGCACATCTACTGTGTGCACAATAAGCTTCATGTATTGTATTGCAACCAGTAAAGCTTTATAAAATGCATATTTTAAAGGTGTCAGTGTTTAAAAAGATAGATTAGTGCCTGTGTGCATTATTTAACAAACTTTTGGGTTTATGTATCCTTTCAGAACCTTGGAAAAGAATAAGAAGAAAGGGAAGATATTTTAAATGCTTCATTTTGACCACCAGTTCTGTATTAGTTGCCAATATGCCAGCCTGGACATCAGTGTTTGTTGGATCCGTTTGACCAATTTTGCACCAGTTGTATCCATCGTAATGGATTTAACAGCATGACAAATTCTTGTTAATTTTGATGGAGAATGAGATGCCTTGAATTGTCTGGGGTGTTTGTTGTGTACTTGGAAAAATAACAGCTCTAAGTACCTTTTTTTGTCTTTTGTTTTGTTTTTTTTTTTAAACAGATGTCATTTTAATGCAGAATTGTACATTTTACTGTTGTACAATCATGTTCTGGTGGTTTGACAGTTTACAGGATATTAAAAACTGCAAGGACTCGAGACGGTTTTTAGTGAGGATAAATTGCCATAATACGATGCAAACGATGCTTCTCTACTATTATAATACAAGAATTCCATTCAGTGCAGCATATACCATAATGTAATTTAGTCTAACACAGTTGACCCTATTTTTTGACACTTCCATTGTTTAAAAGTACACATGGAAAAACAAAAGTTGTAGGCTTACAGTGCACCTAAGCTTTTTATAACAACCCTTTTATGTTTTGGATTCTTTAAATATATGCTATTCTCATTTAGTAACTTCTTTAGCCAGAAGGATCTCATTACTGCTTCATTTTTTGTAACAACATTTAATTTAGATATTTTTCCATATATTGGCCCTCCTAAATAGAATATAGCTTCTTTCATATGGTAGGAACCAGTGAGTAAAACTTTTCCTTTAACTCCCTTTTTACATTTTATGGTAAGTAGCAGGAAAACGCATTTATAGATCATTCCTAGGCAAAATTGTGGAGTTAACTACCAACCTGTTTCTACCTGTGTGCAGTCTTTCTTTCTTTTACTAGAAATGGGAATATGGCCTCAAGAAAAACATCACCATTTCGCATTTAGCTGTATTCATATACTGCATTTCTGTATTTTTGTTTGTATTGTAAAAAGTCACATAATAAACAATGTTGTGATGTATAACACGCTGCTGTGTCAGGAATTGTAAAGGAGTTACAGCCACATACGTCTCTATTTGAACTTCCTCTCTTCTATCCGGGCTTGGTTGACCCGTGTCTTTGATTTGGAACTGATTTAAGATAGAGAAAATGCCCGGGTGTTGTGGAATTGTTGGGAAACGCGGTTTCAGTGTGCTTGGGATTGGAGAAACAAGACCCTGTCCTGCCCAGAAGAGGGCACCAAGCCTCCGCACACGCTCTGCTGTCTCCCGGCAGCTCGCTATTCACTCCATCTCTTGCTCCATCTGCAGGCTTCTGGGTGTATCTAGCGAGGCTGTTTGGTAACAACGCACAGAATCGCAATCCGGGGGAATGGGCAGCAGAGCAGCTGAGCAATACCGGACCAGTGGAGGACAAGCAAGTCCCTAAGCACCTGGAGGTGAACTGCTCTGAGCTATTTAAACCCCAAAATGAATCTTTAAACCACAGACTGGTTTGGGTTGAAGGGACCTTAAAGCTCCTCCAGCTCCAACCCCTGCCACGAGCAGGGACACCTTCCACTAGAGCAGGTTGCTCCAAGCCCCTGTGTCCAACCTGGCCTTGGACACTGCCAGGGATGGGGCAGCCACAGCATTTGCAGTCTCCTTCAGGTACTTCTGTTAGTTTGTTTTGCTTTGCCTCTGTTTTTAGTTAACTGTGTCAGTTCTAATACATGTAATAGCCAGGAACTTGCTATTTAAAATACAGCCCATAGTTTGTAAAAATATCGATGGGGACTTCTTATGCCTGTCTTTGCCTGTGAAACAATGAGGAATGTCTCATTTTCTGCAGATGTCACTTGTATTTCCCCTGCTCTCACTCTGTTTCTGTTCATTTTTCTTTCTTTATAAGAAATATCACTTATTCAGCTCACTTCCCAAAGAAATGAACACGTTTTCAGTGGTCTGTATGGAGGCCTCTTTCCAAATATCTCCTAGAGAAGACACGGGCTACTAGTAAGTGAACATAGCTTTCCCTTTCAGGTAACCAGAACTGCAAAATCCAATCTTTTACTACATCACAGAGGGTGTATGCTGCCTGCATCTGCCCCTTGCCCCCTCAGCTTTCAGTTTCATTCAATCAATTGAATAATGTGAAGACCAGGCAAGAGTTACCATCTGGAACAGAAGCTGCAGTTTCTGAATTGCCTTTAGAATTCATCAAGACTCAGGATATACTGTCTGTGGCAATGCTGGTGCTTCAGCATTCCCATTTGCTCTGAAATAGAGATTTCAATTGTCAGAAAACTTCTAATCATGCTTGTGTTTGACAGGACAAGGGGAATGGCTTGAACCTGCCAGAGGGGAGATTGAGATGAGCTCTGAGGCAGAAGCTCTTCCCTGTGAGGGTGCTGAGGCGCTGGCACAGGGTGCCCAGAGAAGCTGTGGCTGCCCCATCCCTGGCAGTGTTCAAGGCCAGGTTGGACACAGGCGCTTGGAGCAACCTGCTCTAGTGGAAGGGGTCCCTGCCTGTGGCAGGGGGTTGGAACTGGAGGAGCTTTTGAAGGTCCCTTCCAACACAAACCAGTCTGGGATAATTCCCAGAGTAAGCATAAAGAGGAAATTCTTAATTGCAGGAGGATTGTTTTTGTCTTCATGAATGCAAGAAAGCCCTAAGTATGATTTAGATGGCTTAAAATGGTTTAAAAATCATTCTTTTAAAGGTTTCAATACAAATAAATCAGCATGGAAACAGAGAACTGGGCTGGATTACCAGTTCATGCTTTGGAAAGAAGCAGAAGGTGCAGCTGAACTTGTGGAGCAAAGCAGTATATTAAGGGTTCGCCTTCCTCTTTGTGCAGCGCTGTCAAACTTCATTTACCTTTGGGCACTGAGGGCAGGCTGTGGTAGGTGCCCAAGGTAAGGATATGCTTTCCCTGCAGGCTGGCTGCTGAGCCTGCTCTTCCATACAGTTCTTGGGTTTCCTGCCAGCTTAACCTCAATGCTCACAAGCCTCTCTTCGTGCACTTTACATTTCTCCACTGCCAACATCTCCCTGTCCTGACCTTACACTGTTTAAGGCTCAGCAAAGGCAATTGCTCCCTTCACAACCCGTGCCCGACTCATCCCTTGTTGTGGCTGGGGGGGGGGGGGGGCACCCCCCCCCCCTCTTCCCAAAATGCCTTATTGCCTATCCCAATGCTGTCAGGAGCGGAGGGCTTCTTAAGCTTTGTCCTGAGGTGTGGTTTTGCCTTCCTGGTGCCACATGGTTACTCTTCCCAGGAACTACTCAGCCATTGCTCTTCCTTTGCTTTTAGTCACTAAATGTTCATCTTCAGGAATGTGCTGTATCCTGGTGAAAATGGTAGAGGTCTTCAGAGGGATATAACCACCTGCTGATGCTGGAGCAAAGCCCCATTCCCATCACCGTGTCTTGTTGATACAGGTTGTGGTCCCTCTCTGGCTGCGGACAGCAGTGAGGAAGCTCAGTAAGCAGAAGGTTGTTCCCTCCCTTTGCTCACCAGGATTTACAGCTGTGAGACCAGAGAGTTTGGTCCATTCGTCAGGTATCCACAGCTGCCTGGAGCATCCCTGTGTGAGCAGGAGGGGATGCAGGAGGGCACCTCTGCGTTAGGGTGGGGATTCCAGGCACTGCTCCTGGTGCAAATAGTCCCTGCGTGCTGCACCCTCTTCTCTTCTAATGAGCTTTGTAAAGTGGCTGACCGAGGGAACAGGTTCTTGAGCAATGGCATGAGAACACTGCTCACTGACAGGAAAACAGTAGGAATCTTCACCCATTCCCATCAGGACTGGGAAGGCAGCTCTGGTTCTCTTTCTGTAATACATCACCCCTGTGCTGTCACCCAGACGGGTCTCCGAGGCAGCCAAGATGCTTTGTGCAGCCAGAGCCAGGTTTGGATGAAGGTGATCACCTTTCAGCTTGCCCTGGCACAGCTACACCTTGTAACTCGGGATAAAACTTGTGGGTTTGCTTTATTAAGGGAATATTATTCCTCTGGCTTCCCCCCTGGCAAGAATCTGCTTGGAAGCCAATGAAAGGAAATGGAAAACGCAGTTGTGTCACAGTGAGCAAGGCAGATGTTTGTAGCTTGCCAAGATGATGGCGAGGTAAAAGGAATCCCTTTTCTGCTCCCAAGAGATTCTCATTTAGATACCTTGAGAATAATTCACTCCTCTCCTTTGGGAGCTGCTAAATCTCTTCTCCCCAGACTTGTCTCATCCGTATGGTTCTCGCAGGGCAAGTGCCATGGGGAAGTTTGGATGTCTTTGCTGATTTAAACTTCACTTATTCCTGAGGAGAGGGTGTTAAAAATCAGGAATACATGGATTTTGCCCTCTTCTTTCCAGCCAAACCCCAGTCTGTGGGTTTTAGCAGTGCAAGAACACCAGCACCACACTGGTGGAGGAGGAGGGCTTGGCTTTGTATGTGCCAAATCAGAACTGTGCTGACACCATTCAGGCTTTCACCTGGCCAGTAGAGGCCTCTGAGAGCTTGAGAAAGTCACCTAAATTGAAGTTCTCTTTAGTTTTCCAGCTGGAAAAGAGATTCTGGTCTCCCTGCAGAGGCAAAAATACCTATGTAGTTCTTAGAGTTCTTCAAACATCATTTCAAGTCCTTTCTGTCTTCTGGGTGCCCGAGGTTTGGCCAGCCACGACCCTCATCATCCCCACGACTTGCACCTTGCACTAAGGCAAAAAGTGGCAGCTGAGAACGTTCCTGTGCTCCTCTGAAGGCTCTGCAGGTGATGGCTGCTTGTTGCACCTGATTTGCAAACCTGGTTACAGTGGAGAGACCACAGAGAAAGGACCCAAACCCCGGAGAAATAATGTGTGCCCCTGTTTAAGCAGCAGGTGGCAACATCCTCTGCCTGATGGGATTCAATTCACTGTTCCATGAATTTTTTCAGGTTTATTTTAACCTGCTTTTGGAGCAGGACAAACCTCAGGCTCCATCTGCAGCCTCTGCCTTTCTCAGGAGCAACTTGCTGGTGCCTCCAAAAGAGAAGACTCCTGAAGCGCAGTGGGGAAGCATCTTGTGTTCAGTGCTCTGATTCCTGTGTGAAGGTGGGTTCTATCTCCTTGGTCAAATGGCTTGCACTGAGCATCACCTGGGGGGAGCTGGTGGCGTGTGAGGGCTGCAGGAGTGTCTCCATGTGTACTGACACACACTGTCCCTACGTGGTGACTTCAGCAGGTTTGGGGAAGGTGCAGGGGAAAAAGCTTTCCCTGAGTACAAGGATGTGCAGGGGTGTACTCTGGGTGTTGTTGCTCTGGCAAGCAAGGGGATAATGAGGCAAAGCTGCGTTTGGGATGCATCAGATGGCAAGCCGGGCATTCATCCCAGTGAATTTTTAAAGCATGATTCCATGTGTGCTGCTCATACTGCCTTTAACGGTCGAGTTTCTTGTTTGAAGGGTGTCGCTGCTGCTCCTGTTCCTTCTGACTCCCACGGCTACATCTCAGCATCCTCCTGAAGTCTTGTGTGAGCCTTAGTTGGCCACAAGCAGATCACTTTCGGGGGTTGGAACTGGATGAGCTTTAAAGTCCATTCCAACCCGAACCAGCCTGTGATTCTATGGAATACGAGTTCAAGCTCCAGCCTGCGAGTAGCTGCTGATGGTGGAGAAGACGAGCTGCTGCCTGGAATGGTGCAATAGCTACACAGTGAGGTTGAGCTCTACGAAAGCTGAAATAGGAACAAGAAAATGTTCCATCAAAAATATAACGTAATGTTATCGTCTTTGGAGCACTGGAATATGCTGTCTGTAAAGGCAGATGCTCAGCAGTAGGTGCTTGAAAGCCTGGGGGGGTTAATTTGATATGGGCGAGGAGGCCAGTGCTCTAATCACAAAGTGATTGGATCAGAGACCACCTGACAGCGCTGCTGGGCACTTAGATCAGTAAAAACCACACAGAAAACATATAATCCATGGCTGAGGGACCTGGGGGGTTTAGTGTGGAGAAGAGAAGGCTCAGGGGGGACCTGATCGCTCTCTGCAACTGCCTGACAGGAGGATGGAGCCAG